ACCCCCCTGTGTGCCCAGCAGCTGCCGTGTGAAGCCCCGGGCAGCTCGACACGACAAGGGGTTCAGCTGCACATGGCAGACATCCCCCCCAGGGGACTTTGCAGCTGATGCTGGAAAAGGGACCAACCCTGCACTGTTAGCCTGGGCCCCGTGTCCAAGTAGTTAGTGTCCAAAATGTCTCCTGGAGCCAGGAAGAGTTGTTGAGTTCCTGGGAACAAGGCTGACCTGTTTGTCGATTAGAGAAGCTTAGTACTAGTGTGTTTGTGTCTTTGTCATGGACCAGGTTTGTCTTCAGGGTTATGACCAAAAACTCCAGAACTAGGAGACTAAACCACTTGTTAACAATCTCTAAGGTCAGTGGAGATGGTGCTACCGAGCATCAGCCTGAACCACCCAAACCCATCACACACCTGCGTCCCCAAGGCACGCACAGGAAAGCAGAGGCGTGGTCCAGGTTGCACAAAGAGAGAAATTTTTCACTGAGAGAGTGGTGAGGGACTGCAACAGGCTGCCCGGGGAGGTGGTGGAGTCACCATCCCTGGAGGGGCTCAAAAAACAAGTAGATGTAGCACTTGAGGTCTGGTGATTAGGGAGATACTGGGATGAAGGTTAGACTTGATGACCCTAGAGGTCCTTTCCAGCCATAGTGATTCTATGAAAGGAGCAGCCTGTGGTCGTGCCTCCTTCTCCCTGGAGGAAAGAGCAGACAGAAACACTCTCCCAGAGCACCCCAAGACTTGAGTGTCCATTATAATTTCTGAGCTCCTGCAACGGCATGAGGTAACTGGTGGTGACAGATATAGGTACGTGACCTATATAAGAGGCTATGCTGAGAATGTGGCTATGGAAACGGACTTCTCACAGGACCCTTCTTGCCCGTGAGGTCTTTGTTGGTGCTGCAAAGTCCAGCTAGTGAGCACAACCCTCAAACACCCATGCATTCAGGAAGGGAGGAGAACCAGAGCCTCCCAGCTGGTGCCCTTCAGGCAGAGGGACAGGGCAGGGAGCTGGGCTGGAGGCAGGCAGGACAAAGCCATCCTTAGCCCCAGAGAGAGCAGCTGGGTTCTCCACAGGCACATGGTGCAGGAGGCGAGGGGAGGAGAGACCTGGGGAGGAGATGGAGGGCTGGGAGCCAGCTCGACACTCACTGCCCCAGCCCCTGTCCCACCCAGTGCCTTGGAAATTCATGTGGAGACCAAATCCCACCCGTCCTGTAGCATGGGCGAGTGGCTGTGGGTCTAACCCCCCAGCTCCAGCTGGGGAGAGGAGATCGTAGCATGTAACACCACCATTTCCAGCATCACCTGAGGCTCACCAGCTTCTTTTTGCTTGCCCTGGGCAAGCAAAGAGGGTTGTTCAAAGACCATCCAGCTCCACGTTAAACAGCCCACTGCCTAATTTAGCATCCCCAACCCTACTTCCCCCACCTCCCTCTCCCTCCTCCAGCTCAACAAGGGAACGGTGACCATCACCCCACCTCTGGGCTCCCTGCTCCCACCACATTTCTTCATGAAGGATCGCTGGAGGCTGCCACGATTTTCCTTTTTTTTTAATCGTTTCTCCTGCATGTTCAATGGTCCAAACTGTATTAACTGTAATTTTGTATGAAAAGTGACTGTCCACTGGTTTAATAGAGCATTAGTTGTTGTCATAATTTATTGGCTGTCGGTAATGTATTTATTAGTTCAAAAATGTTAATAAAGTGCCAGCTCTTTTCTAGTGTGAGAGGGTTTTCTTGTGTCTCCCTTGACTGCCTCCAGCTTCTCAAGCCTGTTGTCTACCCCACGTCTGCTCCCTGCACACACACATATGTCACGAGCCTGTGAAATCCATTGTCTGCCACAGCCTCACACACCTGGAAATAAGGCATTTGGAAAGTATATAGCCTCAAGTTGTTTAATTTGGTGTAAGTATATGGTGGAGCAATTTTTGCTTTATTTTCAAAGGAAAAACTTCACTGTGGTTTCTCTGTGTTCCATGGCTTCTTGAAATTACTCCTCCACTCTGGAGTCCCTTGTATCTCTGTCAGACCATCCACGCTCTTTCCCAGACCCCACACCAGCATCCATCTGTCCAAGTCCAGCTGCCTTTTGGGCATCCATGGGTGGTGACGCTCAGTACAGGCATCAACTGGTGGGGCAGAGCATCCTGGCTGCCCCACCACTTCCTCCACTTCCTCAATGACAAGCAGCAAGCTTTACGTTCTTTTCTACCAGCTCTTGCACAAGCACAGAGGCAAAAAAGGCATACCTGGCCTGATTCAGTGGTGCTTTTTCCTCCTTGAAGTACCACAGCACTTGGAGTACCTCCCCCTGCCTTTAAAATAACGCTCAGGCCGGGCTGTTCGGCTTAAACCAAAGATCTTCCATTATCTGGGCTATGAAATCGAAGCAAAGAACTTGAAGAAACCAAGAAAATTTTCCGTAAACTTCAGCCAATGGAAGTTCACTGTTATTCCTCTTGACTTCACCAATTTCCAGTGATGTAACTTCAGCTGGACCCATCCTTGGACACATATCCCCATACATCCCATCCTGCAGATCAGACAAAACCACAACTGAGAAAAAAACAGTGGGTGAGAGGGAAAGGATTGCTCTTTTTATATTTGTTTTGAGGATTTTTAAACATTTCCTCCAGGATGCCATCCTGTCTGGATCTTCTGCACGAGTGTCCAAGGCTCAGAGATCACCAGACCTATTTTCCCTGCACTGGGGAATTTATTTCCCCAGGCACATGCTTTGTTTATTTTTTTTTTCAACTGTTCTTCCACCAACATCCTCATTCCTTTATTTTAAATATAACACAACTATGGGACAACACAGGGGATGGATAAAGGGACAAAAAAAACCACACAGATGCTTCCCTTGGAAATCTTAAGACCCAGCATTTTTGCAACAGCCACCAGTCAAGAAGAGCCACATCCTTTTGTGGTGGTTTCTGTTTTCTCCATGAATAAGTCTCTTTTTTTTTTTTTTTTTTTTTTTTTTAAAAGATAAGGATCAAACGATGTCCCAGAGCTTTGGGAAGCCACTTGGCATCCCTCTCTACTCTTTGTCAAGGAACCCACAGTGTAATCTCAAAGCCTTTCAAGATGAAATCAGACATCTGCTAAATTTTGCATGCAAAAGCTGCAGCTGAAGTGTAGCTAATAAAATGACTCACTAATAAAACATTCATGGAAAACTCCAAAATGTGTAATTGGGTCATCATTTCATTAGGAAACACATGCATTCTGGCGAATCTTCGGCAAGTCC